AGGGGATTATAAAAATTGATGGAGGGAAAGTCTATTATTCATTATGGTTATATCTTATCTTCAGTACTAGAGGCACTTAGCAGTGTAGAATTTAAAATGAAACGTATATGTAACTGATTGATGGTCTCATGGTCCAATACTTTTTCCATTCTAAAGAAAGTTCAAATCTCATTGTTACAAATGAAATATTATTTATTTGGTTAGGAGACATGAGTTGGAGCCCTCTTTCTTTTTCTTATCCATGTTATTGGTATTGCAAACACATTTTCTTTACCTACAGATGGAAAGAAACATATCCACATAAAAGACCAATTTTTCATATTTGTCTCTGTAGTGTTTTATATTCATAATGCAAAGTAGATGGACATGGCTGAACATATTAAACATTCCTACAACTTCCCATATTAAAAGAGATACTGAAATAGGAGGACTGGAAGATAAGAAGACTTTCTAAATTCCTTAAAATGAGTCTTGCAAAATCTGAATCCATGAACAAAGAAAAAGAACACTTCTCAGCAATTAAACTATTCTGTGATTAATTTTTTTCAGGTGTTTCAGGAGCTGCAAAGGTTGGTGAATCAAGGCAAGCTTCTGCAGAACAATCACCTTGGGAAATCCAAATTAGATTTTCACACAACAGGAAACAACAGAATACAGAGTAAGAAATGATGTCAACTTTCAGATTGCTCTTGAAATTGCAATGAAAAGGATAATGATTCCTTAATTTTAATATCTTTTGTAATTTATTTTCTTGTTGATCATTATTCTGGATGTATAAACAGCTGAATAATTGAAAAATCAGTATATATTGTAAAAATATGCCAGGTTGGAATCATTTTCACAGCTCCCATCTCCACCCACCCTTCCCATAGGCATCTTAAGTATCTAAGTTTGGTAATGATTGAGCATTATTTTGGCCATATGAATTTCATAAACATGGATGAATTTCAATTAGTGATATGATAAACAGATAGAAAATTAATTTAAGTTAAGAAAAATGATTATCAAAGAACATTTTATCATGCATATCCAAAAATATTTCATAAAATAATCCACAGGGAGGAAAATGACAGAGGCATTGTGATGTTCTTATGTAAATGACAACTTGTCAGATGCCATGATGCAAAATTGAATAATTTAATCATTTCTGTGAGGATGTCACAATGCACATATTATCATGTTGATACCATTGTGGCTTGTTATGGACACTATTGTTTAACAGATTTATGTTCATATATTTGAGTTCATAACTATAAAACTACACTTATCTTTTCATGGACATTCTTGTTTACTAGTTGTGCATTCCCTCCTCCTCCTCCCTGCCCACACACAGTAATTCATTTGAAAGCTACAACCACCAAATAGTTATCTACCAAGCAATTTAAAGCCACACAATTATAATATAATATTATCATGTTGTCGCATTTACTTTGCAGAACTACTATGCTCTACTTTGCAGAGCTGCTATGCTCCATACTATGTCAGGGTATTTTGTGATGGTACGGCTGTGACTAGAACATTACTTAACGATCTAGAAACACAATCTTTCCAGCTGGTTTTCATTCTGAACAACTTTTGTTTTCTTAATACAGATCCAAAGGAAAATGGCCAAGCACAGATGAATTATACGGACATGCTGCCCAGCAGCCCACTCTTGCGCTGGACTCTCGCTCTTTTCTTCTTAACAACAACAATTGTTGTGAGCTTGTATGCTATATGAACAGAAAGGAACTAAAGCATTTTTAGTACTACTTGCTTATTCCTGAACTAACACATGTTTCTTTTAGTTGAGGATGACAGATTTAGATTGTCTGTCAGGTTGGAAGAGCTGAGCTAGCTATTTCTCCAGTACTAGATATTGTTGTTACCAACAGTTTTTTAAAGAAGTTTGTGTCAGAAACATTTCTCTGAAGATCCTGAAATGCCACTGTATGGTATGCCTTTAAACCAGTCAGAAGTCATGATGACAAAAGAATGATAACTTGCCATCTGGGATATGTGAGGAATAAATCGTGCTGTGATATTTTGGCCAGTGTTTATTTTGTATATAGTATATGTTGTATTGCTCATTTTTCTTTGTCCTAAAACACAATAGAGTGCTTGAATTATGACTTTATGCAACACACTTCTATTACTTTAAAATATAGATGTGCCTTAGCAATGAACTTTCACAAACAGAATAATATATTCTTGTATTTGTACTTTGTCTTTATAAGTTATATGTACTTTCATTAAAGCTCCTTGTGAGTTGACTCAACTGTGTACTTTTTGTGTTTATCAGATTGTTTGAAGAGTGTTTGCCTTTCCCTGCTGACTTATATAACTGATACTAGGTAGAAGTTGACTAATCAGAGCTCTGTCATAAAGCTAATTTATCCCTGTGTAGGCAAGATAATTAAATCATTTAGTACCTCAACTATTATAAAATCCTTAAAAGTCAATATTGAAAAGGCCTATATAGGAAAGACATAACATGTGTTCTCTATAAAAGAGAACAGTATAAAAGAGAACTCTATAAAAGTCCAACAGTACATGCCTTTCAAAGGTTTATTGTTCTTTGTATAATGTTCTTGGCTATCTAGGGAAGAGTTACTTTATCAAATTTTAGACAGGTTCAGGAAAAATGCATTTTTGCTCTGGTTTGTGTTAAGTCTAGAACATATTACACAGAAAAATACACTAAACCTTAAAATACATCAGGTAGGAGCCCTTGCTCAGGTATCAAGAACTATATTACTAGTATATGTAGAGTTAACACCCAAACATATTTTTATTTCCTAGAAAGAACACTGTCATTACTAAAGTCTCATATAGATAACCATATTAATTACAAATCAGCATCCTATTCATGCACACATCCATTAAAAATGATTAAAATGTCCTCTATGGACACAAACATGCAGTGTACTGATATGGAATACTAGTCTTTAATTCTTAACTCCTTTAGCTATTGAATAGCACTCTTGATTTCAGTGAATTTATATATTTAGAATAATGGATTTCAGTATCAAAGGCTAATTTTAATTCCCATCCTTCCCCCAAAACTAGTTCATGATTATGTTATTTATTATATTTATATCATGCCTTTCCCTAAATTGGACTTGTAATGGATTGTTTTTCAGATAGAATAATCATCTGTAAAGTATAACCCATGGCCATTCCTACAATCCTCATAATGGTTCTGCATATCCTACATTAATTCTAGCCTCATAGCTCCTCTTCAGTCATTGGCTTCAAGCATCACAATTATTTATTCTATCTATTGGATTTATATACTGCCTCTCATTCAGGAGCTCAAAGCAGTGTACAGAGTGCTCCCGCCTCCAGTTTTTCCCCCACAGTAACAACCCTGGGCCAAGAAAGAGTGATTTGACCAAAGTAGTTTTCATGGCTGCATACCTGGCATCCCTAGTCCTAGTCTAACACTTTAGTCACTGCACTGCAGTGCACCAGCCATACAAGTAGTGCTTGCTTAGTGTACAATTGGGACTGGCAACTCTGTCGCTAAGCAACGCAGTCACCAAATGAAACATCATGTGATTGTGATGGACTTAGGACATCACTTCCCATTTGGTTGTTAAGTGAGTCACCACAGGTCATTAAGCGAGACATCATGTGATAGGGACTTGCAATTTTACTGCTGGTTTCTCCATTGACTCTGCTTGTTGGAAGCCAGCTGTGAAGCACACAAATGGCGATCATGTGACCATGGGATGCTACGATGATCGTAAATGTGAGGACTGGTTGTAAAGTTACTTTTTCAGCAATGTTATAACTTCAAATGGTTGCTACACAGGGCAGTTGTGAATCAAGGTCTACCTGTAGTAATTTGCTTAAATCAAACTGGCCAAGCTCATGCAAAACAGTCATCAATTTATACAGTCATAATGGCTGGTTTTGCAGACCAAACACAGCAAACCAAAAATTCAGGTAGAATTTTACATGGGAAAATTCCATTAAAAGATTGCAAGGCATTTTCTCACTCTTTTGCAGTATGAGATTTTTAAATTGTCCATATAATATAATATAATTGGAACACTTTCATTGCTGAATAAGTGTTCTGATTTCCTAGGAAGTATTAAAAGGCTTCATGCAATCACACTAGGTAATTTGTGTAGTTTTGGTTTGGCAAGGAAGAGGTAAAGTTATAATTGTACTTATAACTGCTATAAAGAAGATCGGAAGCCACTTCTTTGTATCTTTTTTTCTTTTCTTTTCTATTTTACTTTTACTTTTTTTCCTTTCCTGCACTTTTAACTTTCTCTTTGCTTTCTTTTTCTTTCTTGCTTTATATTAGTTTGTATTAGTTTTTATCTTTTTACAAAACTTTTAATAACATTATTTTAAAAAATTAAAATTGATGCTCACAATTGCTTGATAGGATTTTAATACTGTATTTTTCAACATAAGGTTGGCACTTGAAGAAACACTGGCCTAATATATGTGTAACAGGCAGATACGTCTCTCCTATTCTGCTTTCCATCTTTTCCTCTCCCCCCCCCCGCCCAACATCTCTTTCTTAAGGACAGTAGCAAAACAAAATCAACAGGTGTATCTTCTCACACCTTCTATGTTGGAAAAGGAAAGTTTTATTTGCACGACTACCTTCTTACATAACTATCAAGGGCAACAAGCCCACACAGGAACCTGACAGCAGCTTTCGCAAAAAATTAAACAAGCCAAACCCCTCCCATTTCTGCCCGCACCTGCCATTTTAAACCTCCCTTCCCTTTTTCACTCCAAGCAAGAAGTTTGGCGCCAAAAAACCTCCTCTAGAGGACGGCTGACCAATTCCGTAAAGGAAAAGTTGGTAAAGAGGCGGGCCCTGATTGGTGTCGCCTCCAATCGCTTTCAGAGTTTGCTGCCGCCATTCTCTCGCGCCCTGAAAGGGTGAGCTTAAGCGACCGATATTTGAGCCAATAATTTCACGCCCCACTGCCTTTGAGCCAATGACAGCGCGTAACGCGTAGCGCGTGACTGCCGGCGGACGAAGAAGGTTTTTTTCATTACTTTTTGCCGCGAAAACTTTTCGCGGGGTTCTGGCGAGCGACTGAGACGTTCTTTGTAAGAAGTTTTCTCTACGGCTGGGGAAGCAGGTGAGGGGCGTTGGGGTCGGGGGCGCGTGTGAGAGTTTGTATGCTTTAGGAGCGTTGGGTCGATCTTGGGCTGCTGCTTAGCCAGAACTCGCGGGAGGGGATCTTCATTAGCGGCCATCATTTCTCAAAGAATGTTCCTCCAAACGTTTCTTGTACATCCGACGGTCAGCTTTTACAGCCTGGTGCTTTTGAGATGCGTTAGGCACAACTCCCATCCTCCCTTGCTAAGTGTGGTAATTTATAGAAAAGTCACAGATGGCTGAGTCGAGTAGAATCAAAGTCGGCTGGTTATAAATTGCTTAAATAAAATAAATAACGCACGTTTCAAAAAAGGACAATTCCTGCCTGCAATTCTTCAGCTTAAAACCACAAGGCGCCCGTTAGTGATGCTGAATTACAGCTCCCATCATTCTTCATTTGGCCCTGGTTATTGGGAACTCTTGCTTTGCAGCAGATCATAGACTACCCACTTCTGCTATAGAGAAAATGATATAAAAGAAGAGGCTGTCTTGGATAATAGCTGTACGGTAATGAAAGGTAAAACACTTTGCACGTGCTTAAGAGCACTGTTTCCTGTTGTTTAAACTGTTTGGATCTTTGACTTAATTATAATTATTGTATGTGCTGCCCAACTTCCAGCAACTCTGGACTTAATTTAAGTTCTGGAAGCTATGTTTGTGTAATATACCTTCTTGGTATCTTTCAGCTCCTTTCTGTTTTTTTTCATAGAGTCACCATGTCTGGTTTTGATGACCCTGGGATTTTCTACAGTGATAGCTTTGGTGTAGACCCAGGAGCAGATGAAGGGCAAGTTCAAAAGTCCCAGCTGCAGAAACGCTTCAAAGAGTTTTTAAGGCAGTATCGCGTTGGAACAGACCGAACTGGCTTCACCTTCAAATACAGGTGCCCTTTCTCTGTAAACTTAAACAATTGTTTATAGCTTCTTAAGTTGAAATACCTTAGAGTGTTGGTTAGTTTATCAGAATAAGCTAACTTGCTTTAGAGTTCTACCACTATGTGTATTTGTGAATTTTATTCCAAATATATTCATTGTTCCCTTTTTTTCCCCACCTTGTTGGAAGAGATGAGCTCAAGCGTCATTATAACGTGGGACAATACTGGATTGAGGTGGAGATGGAAGATTTGGCAAGCTTTGATGAAGATCTGGCAGACTACCTATACAAGCAGCCTGCGGAGCATCTTCAGCTGGTATATGCAGGATGGGAGAAACATATGGGAGGTTGCATTAGATAATGGATGCTGCCTTGTAGAGATTCAGACTGCTGGTTCTTCTAGCTTAGTATTGCTTACACTGATGACAGCAACTCCTCTGGATTTCAAACTGGAATCTTTTATAGCCCTACATAGAAATGCTGACGATTGACCCTGAAGCTTTCTGCATGTAAAGATTATGCTATATTACTAAGCTATCCCCTTTCTGTCTTTTTAATGTATAAATATTCCACAATATTACTACTAGCAACGCCCTATTCCAGAATTCTCCGTTATTTCCTTCTCATCTCAGTTGTTACTTTTCCAACTGAAACTGAATGTTCTATGATTAGACTACTTTTTCAGCTATTTTTGCCCAACTGGGGCTTTTTTTCTTTTAAGATGTACATTTGCACATATTAGAGAGTACATCCCAAGCCTTTTGACAGCCTCACTTAGGTTCTGTTGTCGTTGGTTATTTGCCACTCAAACATCTATCAAATGAAAAGAGAATGCCTCCATTCCTATGTTTTAAGCAATTTCATTTCTTTCTCAGCTGGAAGAAGCTGCGAAAGAGGTAGCTGATGAAATAACGCGTCCTCGGCCAATAGGAGAGGAGACTCTTCAGGATATTCAAGTTATGCTCAGATCAGATGCCAATCCGTCCAACATCCGAAATCTCAAGGTGAGCTGGACCCACTGCTGTGGAAGAAAACTGCATTATAGCTTTGAGAGAGAGAGAGAGTTAGTTTAGGAAATGAAAAGCTTATTTCATGCTTAACAAGATTCTGGAAGCCCAGCTAGATGACACAGCCTAGTCAACCATGGCTGATTTCAAAAAGCTAAACAGGGTCAGACCTGCTTAGTATTTGGATAGAAAGGTCCCAGGAAACTGCATATCTGTGGCCAGGGATGTGTGCAGGGTATGGTGAAAAAAAGTCAAAATGGCACCCATGAAGGTACGATCAAAGTTCCATCCATTTTTTATGTGCATTACACTTAAGAAGGCCACTATCTTTATTTTTTGACCACCTCCTGCAGACATGCCTGTTTGCAGCTTAGATTGAGAAGTTTAAAAAAAACCTGGAAGAAGCGAATGGCAAATAATTTCTATGCTGTGTCCAAGAAGAAAACTTCAAGTTGAGAAGATACTCAATTTCAGGCTATTTTTTAATGATTCAGTACAAATGAAGCTGGAGCTGTAGTTTTGTAGAATTCATGAAGGTTCCCTCTGCATTTGCCAGCATTGATATAGTATTGTAATACAAGTCTCTATTAGCTTAATTTTGCCAGTAAAATATAATGATTTGTCTTTCCAGTCTATTGGTTAGAATTTCTTTATATTGGTGGCTGCCTTATGGAATCTTTGTAGCTATGATCTACAGTACTAAGTTTACTCTAAGGTTGTTGTGAAAGAAAAGCTGTATCAAAGCTAAGGCAATGCCAGCTTTCATCTCAACAAGTTGGACGCTTTGTGCCACAAAAGTGACACTTATTTACCTCGTGATTAGTCATTAATTGCAATAAACAATACACACAACTTCTTGTGAAGGCAATTAATTGCCGCAAGGGGCCTCACAATCACTTGCAAAAATCAGAAGAGGCAGTCAAAATAGCTGACTAGACACAATGGAAGAGGCTTTTGTGCATGCACAGAACCTTTTTCTGGTTATTCCAGATGTTGGAGTAGGTTGCTGCAGATGGAAGCAGTGCAGGTGCTTCACACTTAGAAGCGAAGGGAACTTTGTGGCTTCAGAAAGCAGATTCAGAGGGACACTTCATTCTGACCATTTAAGTGAAGACCCCTTCAAAGATATATGTTCTTAGGTTGTAATAAATACAGACTTAAGTATGACATGTTTGTTTTTATATGCTTTATTCTGTACTTTTTGTACCTTCTACAAATTGGAACATGACATGATGAAAAACTTGTAGTCACTGTGGAAGACAGACTTGGATTTCTGGATCTTTGGATGTTCTGTGCGTATGTTTTCTTTGGCAGTTTTCATGATGGTTGTAAATTTTTCCTTGTTTGTTTTGAAGTCTGAACAGATGTCACATCTGGTGAAGATCCCAGGAATCATTATTGCTGCAACTCCTGTGAGAGCCAAAGCAACCAAGATCACTATCCAATGCCGCACTTGCCGGAATATAATCCCTAACATAAGTTTGCGTCCAGGCCTGGAAGGATATGCTCTTCCTCGGAAGTGCAGCACGTAAGCAAATGGGTTACAGTTCCTTTCAGGTTTCAGTGGAATTTATTTTGATTAGATGCATGATTATATTGCTTTGCATTTGTTTGCAGCACACGCCTATGTGTACTTATTCACTAGCAGGCCCTACTGAATTTAATTAAAATTATTCTCAAATAATTGGCATAAGATTGTAGCCTTCATTGTGTTTGTTTCCTTTCATTAAAGGCAAGGTTGGGCAAATTTAGGCCATCCAGATATTTGGACTAATTCCCATTAGCCCCAAGCAACTTAGTAAGGCTTTATAAGAGTTCTGGTGGAAAAACATCTGGAAGATGCTTGCTTGGTTAAGACTATATAGAGCTTTGAAAAAAACAGAACAATTTCCTAGAGAAAACATGCAATTTGAACCTCATTGAAGTCAGCACAGATCAGTTAAAACCAGTGTTCTCCTGTACACCGAAATATTAAAATGTTTCTAATAAACCTCGTAAATAGAAGAAATATTTGAACTCTGAATCCCCAAAGAAGGTGACATGTATAACAAAATTCCATCTTTATGCCGTACAGTAATGAAATCTGAGACTGAACACTCCAACACTGGTTAGGGAGGTGGCTGGTGTTGTTTAAATCTCTAGTGGCCAACTATTGCAAGAATTTGGGTTAAGGTTTGGTGGATGTGTGGATTCCATTTGCATCCGAGATACCCAGATTCAGAGTTTGTCTTAGATAACCATGGGCAAATTTGGTACCTTTGAGATTAGTATTTCCAAAATTTCTATTATGCTAGATTCTCATAAGAGTGATCAAGACAGACATTATAAAATAGACACTATGTTCCCATATTACCTGCACTCTCTTTCCTTTCACTTCAGGGAACAGACTAACCTAGCAAAGTGTCCTTTAGACCCATACTTCATTGTTCCAGACAAGTGTAAATGTGTGGATTTCCAGACACTGAAGCTTCAAGAGTCTCCTGATGCTGTCCCTCATGGGGAATTGCCTCGGCACATGCAGCTCTACTGTGACAGGTGATGCCTCTTAATTCTTCAGCAGGACAGGGCTGTGGTGCAGCAAACAGACTCCATGCTTTGCTAGTAGAAAGACCCAAACACAATCTGTTGTATCCATGGTTTAAAAGATTTAGATGCTAGTCTGATTATTCATTTTCACACTTAAGACAGAATTTGGTTGTTTGAATACATAAAATGGAAAACAGGATTTTATAAAGAATTCATGGGAATAAATACAATTATTAGTGGCTCCTGTCCATGTTACATGGTGCTCAAGGCCTGTGTGAGCAGGCAGCACCTGCTGTTGGCAAAATCCATATGCAGTGTTCAAGAGCTGCCCTTTTTGTTCCAGTTTAAATAGCTTTTTCTTCCATCCTTGCTATATATTTTCCAGATATCTGTGTGACAAAGTTGTCCCTGGGAACAGAGCTACCATCATGGGCATTTACTCAATCAAAAAGGCAGGCCTCACAAAGACCAAGAGCCGGAGCAATGTTGGAGTGGGCATCCGGAGCTCCTATATCCGTGTGGTGGGAATCCAAGTAGACACCGAAGGCTCGGGTAAAGCTTTAATTTGGAAGCTTGGGACTTGTGTGGGATTTTGAATAATGCCGTACTTTACTATGCTCCTGTTAATTTGATCATCTGCTAGGGAGCGTACTGGCCAAAAGAGAACTTGTTTTATGTTGACCTGTCTTGTCTATACTACCTTGCTAATGTAGTGCATAACAGATTGAAATAAATATTAATCTGGGGGCCTAAGACTACTTAATACAAATGATTGGGAGTATTTATCAAAACAGTCATGCTGTCCAATGTCAATAGTACTTTGTTTAACCCTAACCCTAACTGACAAGGTCATACTGACAGTGTAAGATGTATTTCTTAGAATTATATCAGAGCATCATTGCAAACTAGGCTTGGCATGCTTATGCTTTCTCTTTCTCTGGTGAGAGAGACTATTCCAAAGTTTCAGTATTGGTCTCTTTTTCCCTAGGGCGCAGCATCAGTGGCTCAGTGACTCCTCAGGAAGAGGAGGAGTTTCGGCATTTGGCTTCCATGCCCAATGTTTATGAGATGATTGCCAAGAGCATTGCTCCTTCCATCTATGGTAGTAGTGATATCAAGAAGGCAATTGCATGCATGCTTTTTGGAGGCTCTCGAAAGAGGTATTGACGTGAAAGGCAAAGGGGAATATCACAAGGAATGCAATTAGAAAAAAGTGATACAGGCTTTTCTTTCTTCTGTCTTACTGTGAAGCAGCCTTTTTATATACTTCCTTGCCTTTATCATTCCCAGGAAAGAGAATAAAGTTGTTTATCCAACAGCTATCTTTGTTGCTATCTAGTGTTTTCTTTCACTGAACTAGAATGGGAGGGAAATAGTATTGATACAGCTGCTTCATCTCCAGTTCCCATTGGGCTTTGATGCTCTTAATAACTACTCTTAGGCAGCCTCTAAAGGGAAAAATGTCTCAAATAGCAAATTTGAGTGATTATTGCTGGCAAATGGAACCAAAACAGTCTTGCTGAGAGAGGGGCATCAGCATGATTGGATGAACACCAAGGTTTTGAATTTTTTTTTCCAATAGTATGACTTCTGTACCTCATTTCCCTGCCCTTCTCCAAACAGCTGAGCAGAGACTGTTCAGTTGGGATAGGAAGTTGAGTAACAACTAGACCACTGGTTCTCCAAGATTTTGGTCTTGGGACCCCTTAACATTCTTAAAAATTATTTTTAAAAAAAGAGCTTTGGTTTATGTGAGTTATAACTATTAATATTTACTGTATTAGTATTAAAACTAAGAAATTTTAAAATATTTGACTTTGTGAACCCCCTGAAGGGGTCTCAGGGCTCCCCAGGCACACTGAGAACCACTGAGCTAGACAATGAAAATGTAGATGAATTGGATAGAATGATAAACTTCATTCTATAATACACAGGTAGTAATTCTGTAGCCTTCTAGATGTTTCTGAAGTAAATTCCCTACTTCCCTTACCATGAGGAGAGATAGCTATTGATGTTAGAATCAGCAACAGCTGGAGGTTCAGAGTTTCCACACCTCTGCTGTTACAGCTTGTAGAGTTCTGGAGGAGTGCATGTCCAGTTGGAATCTCAGGAGAAGTTCTGTTAAGAAAAGTCTGAGCAGATTTGATTTGTGATTGGACTAGTTTTATATTTTTGGGATTAATGAGATGTTAATGAGCGCAGAATGCCTGTTTGCAAAGCTCCAAGCAATTACCCCAGCTGTATCCTAGTCACTTCAGTGATATTTTAATTTGGTAGAGAGTGGCTTTCTAACAAACAGTTCATGTTATCTCTGGTCTCTGACAAATCTCTCTCAATTTACAGACTTCCAGATGGGTTGACTCGTAGAGGAGATATTAATTTGCTCATGATGGGAGACCCTGGAACTGCCAAGTCTCAGCTCTTAAAGTTTGTAGAAAGATGTTCACCCATAGGAGTAAGTAACTTGTAGGGCAATTGTGTACTGAAGGAAACTACAATATATCAGAAATATCTATTGAATCAACAACCAACCGATCCACACACATATCAAAAACATACCATTTTAATTATTAAAATTATAAATTGTCACCCCAGTAGTTTAAAAGTTCAATCATCTTGTTTTCTGATTTTCATTGCATAGACTCTGAATAATGTTGATATTAGAGCCTGTGATATTTGAGAGATCCACTTTTTGACTTGAGTTGTACATGGAAGATTGTATAATATGCTGTGAGGGGTGAAAAGATAAACTTTGGAAAAACTGCTGATTGGAACTGGTGGGTTCTAAGAGGTGATGATATCCAGCGTGGGGGACTGAGTTACTACTTCCAGCTGAGTGATCAAAGACTAAGAAGAATGTAAGTCAGATACCAGGGGATAGGGAGTTTAAGGGAGAGTCCTTAACAAATTTTCCTTTTAAGTCAAGAGTTTTTGCATGGCTAATCTGAGAGCTTGAGGAAATAAAGGCCTTTGTAATTGTAGTGTTCTAAGAAGTAAAAAGTGAAGAGGAGCAGACGGATGTGATACAGAGGGAATCAGTTTGGTGTAGTGGTTAACATGCTGGCCTAGAAACCAGGAGACTATCAGTTCTAGGCCTCTCTTAGGCATGAAAACCATCTGGGTGACTTTGGGCCAGTTACTCTCAGCCCAACTCACCTCACAGGGTTGTTGTGGGGAAAATAGGTGGCTGCAGTCTTAGGTATGTTCACCACCTTGAGTTACATATAAAAAAGGTAGGATAAACAGATAATAATAATGTACAATATGGCATGTTTGTCACATAGAAGAAAGTCAAGGCCTGAAGGCACATTCCAATCAAATGTAAAAGAAACTAACAGAGCAGTTAAACAGTGGAACCATTCCAGAAGTAAGCAGATTTTGCCTCCTATCACTATGAAGCAGGATATCTGGCCTGAGGAATATTTGAGTAGCATTACATGGTCTCCCTTTTTTTTTTTCTTGTCAGGTCTATACTTCAGGGAAAGGCAGCAGTGCAGCTGGTCTAACTGCCTCGGTGATCAGAGACCCGTCTTCACGGAGCTTCTTTGTAGAAGGCGGAGCCATGGTCTTGGCTGATGGGGGAGTGGTTTGCATTGATGAGTTTGACAAGGTACAGATGGGGTGGGTCAGCAAAAGCCTCCATTGTAATGTTGCCAAGAAATGCGTGGGTTTGTATGGGTGTTCTGATTGGGCTTTAAGGCTGGAATAGTACGTTCAAGGCACATTAAGAAGAGGGCTGTGTATAAATATAAGCATTCAGTTGAAAGAAATGGAGAATAGGAAAGCTTATGTGACTCAAAAAAACAGCTGAAGCAAAGCAATTTTCAGAAGTTTATTCACTTAATTTGTGCTGAAAGTGAGCTTCCAACTTATTTATTCAAAATATTAACAACATGTGAACCACAGCTTCCACAAAACACAGCACATTGTTGTTTATTACTTTGAATATTATTTCAAAAACATATAAACTCCAGATTTTAACAAAATGGTATTGTCTTCTTCCCTATATGAAAACCTGGCCTGTTGTTTCTCCTCTCCTTTGAAAAAGATGCGTGAAGATGATAGGGTGGCCATCCATGAAGCTATGGAGCAGCAGACCATCTCCATTGCCAAGGTGAGCTTGTGAGCTCTGAGTAATCCTTACAGTTTCTTCTTTTTTGGTGTATTTCTTCAGTTCATTTACAAATGAATATGGCTTTAAATCAGGGACTAGATATCTATGTCTGACCAAGGATGAAGTTGACTGTGGACCAATTTTGGGGGGGATGCACAGTAGCAAGTAAATGGTACCTAAGCATGAAATGGTGGGACCATTCCACTGACTTATTTGCTGGAGCCTTTTATGCGTTCATGCAAGCTTCTGAAAATCCTGCATAACAATTAGATTCTCAGTTGATCTCACTTGAAGGTTACTGTAAAACTCGCAAGTGAGAAATGCTCCAATGAACTGCAGATCAAAGTTTTTTTCCAGACAAGATAAGGGTCTGGGAGAGAAGCCTGTGGGTCAGATGGGGGATTCTGTAGGCTTTATTTAGCTAACAGGCTGGAGGTTCATTATGCCAGCCTTAAAGTATATAACGAAGTACAGTTCATTCTTATCAGGACTGAATAGCATTTTTGGTGCCAGGGACTGCATTTTTGCCTTTACACTCTGTCTGGATCCACAGAGATCATAACCAGTGACATTACGCGGTCACAACAGTGGACCGAGAAGAAAATGTTGGCCCTTTTTTGTGTCTGAAGTTTTAGACAGGAAGTGGGTGCTTTACAGAGGCTTAAGGTTCCCATTTGGGCCTTTAAAACACTCCTGACAATAGTAAAATTGGTTCAGGTTTTGTGTCGAGAGTTAAGAGTGCCTTGTATGCTTTGGAAGGCCATGGGTTACATATTATATTATAGAACATGATGGAAGAAATGTTCCAAATTGATTTGTATCTTACTCTAACTTTCCATTTTTCTAAACTGTGTAGGCCCAATACAGTAAGAGTTCAGCAAAGAACTTGCATAAGTCCCACCTTTTTGGCTGTACTATATGCAATACTTTAAGCGCTGTTAATATGAGTTTTATCTTTCTCTGTGCAATCATGCAGGCTGGTATCACCACTACCCTAAATTCACGCTGCTCTGTGTTAGCAGCTGCAAACTCCGTGTTTGGACGCTGGGATGAAACTAAAGGGGAGGAAAACATAGACTTCATGCCCACCATTCTATCCCGATTTGACATGATCTTCATTGTCAAAGATGAGCACAATGAGGAAAGAGACATGGTGAGTGGTTTGGATAGCTCAGTACAAGAGGAAGAGGGTGTTTTGGGATTGCAATTTTTTAAAATTGTAGAAACAATGGCACAAAGACTTGATTTTATGAAAGCCTCTTCTCCATTTCTTTTATATATCACAATATTTCCAAAAGAAGGTTAGGTAAGAAATGCAGTTCTCTGGCATTGGGTGTACTCTCTAAGTTCTAAGGAACTTAGCCAATATTTTGCACTTCCTTATAAAAGAAGGCTAACATACAGAAGCCAGTAAAATTTAGTATTTTGCAAATTTAGGTCATTTTGTATTCAAGTGTTATCTCTGCCCTGGAAAATATTATAAAACTGTTTATAAGTTCTACAAGATTAGAAGTCTGTGCTTGCATATTACACTTACTCAAGGTTCGTTTGACCATAGTTTACTCAATCCCTTCTTCTGTGTTCACATGATATAATGACTACGTATGAGTGAGTTCAATAAAATCTGATTGCCTAGCTTGTGACTCCATGTATTATATAAACATACCCTAAAATTGCAGGCTTAAAAAAAGCTTAGCATGCAGAAGTAATAAAGATGTTGTACTAAAGAGAAGTGCAGAAGGCAGTTTCAGTGTTTTTTCCCTTCCAGTAAACTTGTTATGTGTTGTTCCCTAGACCCTGGCCAAGCATGTGATGTCACTACATGTAAGTGCCTTTACACAGACCCAAGCAGTTGAGGGTGAGATTGAGCTGCATAAACTGAAAAAGCTGATTGCCTACTGCCGAGCGTGAGTAAGAAAATTGCAGCAGTAATTACATGGGAAGGGTGGTGGAAACCTTTCAAGCATGCTTCAGATTAATAAAACAAAACTAAAGGTTTAGTTTTGGCCATAGAGATTCAAAAGCTTGGCTGAACAGGTAGGTATTCAGCTTGGTTCTGAAGAAAAAGCAAAATTTGCTTCACTCTGACTTGTCAGCCAGGATGACATTTCAGCACCAAGAATGCCTTCTTTAAAGTCCCCATTTAGTCCACATTATGGAGTATAGAAGAGAAGCCCGCTCAACTATTCTTAATAAGTTTCATGATGCTGTGAGCATATAGAAGATGCTAGAGAAGAAATAGAATTTCATTAAGAAATCACTTTTGAATATGCCATTTTCATTTCATAAATTAAGCAGCCTGCAGATTGAGTTCATATATTGCATTAGGCTGTTCTAACAGTGGTTTGTTTAATAAGCCACAGTGGATGTGTTCACACAACAGACTGAACTACAATATGGCTTAGCAGAGGGTATGAATTTGGTTTGGGACTGTACCATAAGAATTAAATTTTTAAGATTTGGTTAAATGAAATGATCTTGTGTTTATGTGAGAGTTTTTTAACATATCTGCTGATAAATTAAGATTTTTATTTGTTCTCATAGGAAATGTGGTCCTCGCCTTTCTGCAGAAGCTGCAGAGAAATTGAAGAACCGCTATATCCTCATGCGCAGTGGTGCCCGCCAACATGAAAGAGAAAGTGACCGTCGCTCCAACATTCCCATTACAGTAAGGTGAGGGGAAGTTTCTATCTGGGTTCATGGTTAGGAACTAAATAATGCTGCAGAAAAATCCTTCTGTACAGTGTCTGAATCTCTTAAGTGAGTCATTAGACAAAATGGGTCATGTTATTTCTCAGGGCAGTTGTCCAGCTAGTAAGTATACATAAGGATGTGCAAAATGTTCTGTGCACAAACTGTCCCATGCATAAAAGGCTGGTTTGGGGTGGCCTATGACCAAACTGAAGCCTGCATGTCTAGGGGTAGAAGTGGGGATTTGTCTGTGCACAGGACAAACTGGGGCTGTTTTGATCTGTACAGGAGTGGTTTTGGTAGGGAGAGCAGAGAAAGCTAAGAATGTTGATAGCTGAGTGGAGGAAGGAAGATACTGGGAAGACGGGAGGCAGGCAGGGTGATGGGATATACTGCATTAGGATTTTGCAATGGGAAGATGGGGGGAGGGGTGAGTTGACCAGTGAGGATAGGTCACATTAAAATCTGCTGAGGGAAAATGAGGTTGCACACAGTAGCCTTGCTCTACTCATTTCTATTCTGTTTTGTCTGAAATCTGGAATCAGAGCAGTTCAGCAGAACCTTTGGAATGGGAGAGTTTGTTCCAGGTTCAAAACAGCATTTTTGCCATTTCATGCACACTCCTAGATACACATAAATCAGAGAAAGTCTGGGTGAACCTTTCAGACTAACAAATGTTATTAGAAGTCATAAGCTTTTGTGAACTGGAGCTCTCTTCATCTGATGCATCCTGCAGTGTCGAGATACACATGTGACCATTGGAAATTTGGATACAATGGGAACTTGGACTTGCATTAAGGCCACTATTTTATTCTAATATTTTTAGAAAAGTTTTATTGTTCTTGTTTCAGCACTTTTATGACCTCCATTGCCTTGATGACTTAGTAGAAACTCATAAAAAAATCCAAAGTAAACAGGTAGATGTGCTCGCCTTGGTTCAGGAGATTGGGATTATTTCCTAAATTGAAAAGAAGAGAGCAGCTCTGAGAGGTTTGCATGATCTTGAATATGCATGCTGAAATTATCCTTGTCCAAATTTAATTTCCAGTTAATGTTTCTACTGATGTGATGCTTCACCTGTTTTGTTTTGTTTTTAAAGTCTTCTAGTTCCCTTAATCATGGCTATTTCTTCCATTTGTTTTATGTTATTTTAATGGAGTTTTCTTCATTCGTCTCATGCAGGCAGCTGGAGGCCATTGTGCGAATAGCAGAATCCCTCAGTAAGATGAAGCTGCAACCTTTCGCTACTGATGCAGACGTTGAAGAAGCCTTGCGGCTCTTCCAGGTGTCGACACTTGACGCTGCTTTGTCAGGCAACCTCTCAGGTGAGCTTCACCAAGGAAATAAGGTTGCTTGTGCAGCACCAGTGTTCTTTGACCAGAGATTGCTTGGTATACGTGGGTTGATAATACCTTTGGCTCTCAAAGGTAACAGTAGATTGTGTTTTTCAATTTACAGACTGGCTGACTTTTGAAAATTTAAGATTATGAATTGAACCTCGGAGTGCAGGCTAGTGTAGCTAAGAGCGAGATAGGAAATACCTGCCTCAAATCTTCCTGTGAATTTTGTTGGCTGCTGAGAGCCTGTGTACAATTGCGGCAGGGTATAAATGTGATATATAAATAAATATATCAATTTCTGCTGCTCTCATCCCCATCTGTGATACTGCAATGATATTCTCCTTAAGCATCGCCGTAAGGAAAAACTCTGCAGTAATGTATGTGAAATGGCTATATAACATGCTATGTAAATTAGTATTATTGTATGCTATATAAATTTAGTATTGTATGAGTTGCCAAGGTTGAATCCATTTGAAAGCTAAGTTACTAGTGAGATCTTTCCTTTAATGATAGACTTGTTTGCAGACAGGTTTAGTTCAGCAAGATTAGCTGTTAATCTGATTGAAGATTAGCTGCTTATCTGATTGAATTTAAGAAGGGAGCTCTTAGGAGACCAAAAAATGATGTGAATTTTCCACATTTAAACTGCAGTTGTATTACATTCAGTTTTTATTTAAACTCTCTTCCTGACGAAATCAAACAGAACAACTCATGCTGATGCAAAATGTACTGTTGTAAATTTTGACTCAGAGCAGAGATCAAAGACTTTAATGGTATATTTCTATGAAGAAATATGTGTGTCTCTGTGTTAATTGCCATATGCCTCCTCTCTAGGAGTAGAGGGTTTCACTACTCAGGAAGACCAAGAGATGCTGTCTCGTATTGAGAAACAGCTGAAGCGTCGCTTTGCCATTGGCTCCCAAGTATCTGAACACAGCATCATCCAGGATTTTGTGAAGCAAGTAAGTTGCATGAGAGAGACACTTGGAAGTGCTCTCTTAGCTGTTGACAAATCACCTGTGTTGCAGTCCCACAAAAGCAGCAAGAATGAAGAGGTTTATGCATACTTTTTCAGAAGATACAAAACCCCTAGCATGTACTCCCTTGGTTGTCTGGCTGAGTTGCAAGATGTGCAGACCTAGCTAGAGTTTTAGTGGAAGGAAGTGTGCTTCAGCCCATCATAATGCCTGTTCATCACTGCTCAAGAGCAGCTTTTCCTGTCCTTTGACCGTGGTACCCGAGGACTATGGGAATTGATGTTCCACACGTTTGGAGGTTGCAGGGAAATCTGGGGTGTAGGTGGAGCACACAGAATTTCCACTTCCTCCAAGTAGTTGATTACGTGCAATAGAGGGAGAAATAGGCCTGGGTAGAAGGTTTTGTACTTTCATATTGGGAAAGATAATATTCCCTGATAGACAAATCTACTGTGCACAATACAAAATGGAGAAGAAAATGAAGCTGTCTTATTTGCCTAATAGAGAAATTTAAATGTTACATTGTTAATTCTCCTGATTAGCACCATAATTTGTCCATCATTCTCCTTCAAGTTTCATCATTACTTTGAAGTGTATTGGTTTTCACAAAATGTCTTTTCCCCTCTTACTTTCCTCTCAGAAATATCCTGAGCATGCCATCTACAGGGTGCTGCAGCTTATGATGCGTCGTGGTGAGATCCAGCATCGCATGCAACGCAAAGTCCTTTATCGCATCAAGTGAAACACCTGGTTTCTCCTGGGATATTGATTCATTCTTCATGTAATCAGAACTAAGTTCTGAACATTTTTGCTGCTGTTTTCTTACGTCTAACATCTGCAGCACACTTTTCAATCTAAAGAAAAATAATCTGAGGTATTGTCCAATTCTGGTCAAAAGGAAGACAGCATAAGAATACCTCTTGTTTTTATTTGTTGCAATTTCCTTGTTAAAGTGTCACCTTGATATTTTGTTATAATATTAAAAGCTTTTTGTCAGCACTAAAACTTAGTAAGTAACATGTCTGAAACAGAAAGTGTTCTGTAAAGAGTGTGCAGTAAAATAAAGCTGTTAAACAGCACAGAGCTAACTTTCTCTAACTTGTTTCAGCTAACTGCTCCCCCTGAAACACTCTGGAAGCCTTGTTGCTTGGTGTAGTAAAATTATATTGTGATCTCTTGTGGCTGCCATTGAGGTCAATGATAGAGACCCAGGGAAGTGAACTTGCAGAAAACAAAGATCTCTCCCCTGAGAAGTCAAGAGTTCCAAGGCATGTTTACACAACCTGACTTTTGTACCTAGTAGTGATATATCAATAGTAATTAGCTGAGCAACATCCAGTGGAGGAGATCAGGAAACAAATGTATAAAGAGATCTACCAGTGCTATGGCAGAAATAAGTTACTTCCACCGTCACTCTTTCCTTGAATGTGAGATAAGAGTCTTAATGTAAGAGTGTCAAGAGCATAGCTGCTTTTTTCTTCCTGCTGGCTTTCTATGTGCAAGCATGATTCCTTAAGATAAGATGGTGACTATGCATAATTCTACCTTATAGTGGAAATGTCTATCCTGTAGTGCTTCTGACAAAAAAACCTAATTTTATTTTGATTTTATTACATGCTGATTATATTTCCCACAAGAGTGCATAAGAATGGTTCAACTGTTTTTGCAAGATGGGCAACATGGCTTCCATATGGAAATTCAGAGGTGAACCTTTTTTTCCCCTCTCATGCTTGTATTTTCTTTGAAATACAATGCCCATATTATAAACATGTCATTTTCGCAGGTTGATGCTGTATATTCTTTTTTTTTTTTTTAGTTACATGGGGATGCTGGTGGGAGAATAATAGCCAGAAAGGAACTCAGTATGTATGTTTTTGTAATTTTTGTCTGATTTCAAGCTGCTGGCCTTTTGCTCTAACAAAGGCTTTCTCTCTTTCTCCCTAATTTCAGGAGCCAGCAGGGGGTGCTAGAATTCCAAAATCTGCTGGCTTCATGGACTAAGTGAGGGTTCATTACTTTACCATAATAAAGGAAAGGATAACTGGTCGGTAGAGAGACAGCCTAGCCCTGTGCTTTTTCCTCCTCAGTGAAATTATACTGTCTGAGCACTGCAGATAAACCGGTCTTATGGGAATATATAGTTGGGGTGATCTGTGATGGGTGTTGCACCTTCTTAACAAACTTAACTGTTATTGCCTGACTGCTTCTTGGATAAAGGCATTCTGCTGTCACCAGCACTTCTAAAGAACTATGATGTATTTTATATTTACTTTTTATCAAACTAAAGGTTGCCTGATTCCATAGTGACTTGAGCAACATGCAACACTAAAAACAGTGCAAATACAATATAAAGAAGAAATAGCAATGATATCCAGACACAGCAATAAACTACACAAACTAATGTATTCCCATAAGAGGCCCACTAGCTCAGGGCCTGGGGAAAGAAACATGCTTTTAAAGACTGTTCAAACAAAGACAGAGTAGAGACCATAAGTGCTGCAACAGAGAAGACCCACTTCCTGGGTCCCATCTGATGTCACTCTTTGATCCATGGGGCCTGGAGCACGCCAACTCTGTCTGGTTCTACACGAAGGACAGAAACTCCTTTAGCCAGGCCTTATGCCATGAAGGGCTTTACATGTGGTAATCAGCACCTTGAATTGTACCCAGAAGCTAATGAGCTAATAGTGTGGTTCATGAAGCCAGGGCATGCCCATTACTGCCTGTGCTGCTGCATTCTAAACCAGCTGTAGCTTCCGAGTGGTCTTCAAGGGCAACCCCATGTACAGCATGTTTGCAACAGTCTGCATGTGAGGTGACAAAGCCATGAGTGACTCTGAATGGCCCCAGTCCAGGAACAAAGTCTTGATGCACAAGATGGATCTCTGCAAAGCTTCCCTGGTGACAGCTGCCACCACCTTTTCAAGCAGGAGCTTTAAGTCCAGGAAAAACCCCAAACTGCCTACCAGTTCCAAATAGGGAGGTGCACCCCCATTCAGGAGTAAAGATGGACATTCTGTAGGACAGGGTGGTCCAAATATTCACAGCCACTTGGTTTAAATCGAAGAATAGGATGGGTAAATGGTTTAACTGGAGTAAATGCAGAAAGAGGAAATTCACTAGGTGATGCGTGTTAATATCCTTCCAATCTATTGCAATTGTTATTTGACTCAACGAAATCTGGGTTAAACATTTCATCCATAATGCCCTAGCTAGACTGAGTGGCTATGGATATTTGGACTACCCAGTCCTGTAGAATTTACATCCAGCTGTAGTACGGTAATACATTTATTATTTATTTATTTATTTATTTTATTGGATTTCTCTGCCGCCCATCTCACCCACAATAGGGGACTCTGGGTGT